ATAATAATAATAATAATAATAATAACAATAATAATAAAAAAATAATAATAATATTAAAAATAGTAGTAGTAGTAATAATAATAAGTGCTAGACATTTCAACTGCACTAGGGTATCATCGGTGGCGTTTGCTGCTATCGTGTCGTCTTTCACCGCTGTGAGTCCAACGGGTCGGGTTGCTGGTTCGAGCCCTGTGGTCGCCACATGTGAATTGAGTTTGTTTGATGTGTTGTTCTCTCCTTTGCTACGAGGGTTTTCTCCAGGTTCTCCGGTTTCCTCCCTCCGTAAAAATCAACATGTGCGTTGAGCATTGTGTGCATAGAATATTAAATGTAGTGGTAGTACGTGTGAGCGAAAAGGGTCCCCAATTAGTGCAAAAGCACTAGAACGACTAGACACTTGAATAAAGTGATTTTTATTTTACTATTGGCTATATAAATTYATCAGAATGAATTGTCAACTCAATAGAGATCTTGAAAAACTATTTTTTGTTAACCTGCATCAAGCCCTATCATTAACATGTCATGCTATTGAGTTCCTTATTCATGGCAATCTGACACACCGATATTTCTTTTGTATATGTGAAATTCATACTATACTATAAACGGTACTATTAATAATATCAAATGTCAAATAGCCATGTTATGTAACTGGTGTACATATGAATGCAGTTTCTTTAATGTATAATAATATATATTTTAAAGACCTTAAAAACTAACTACTCCTTTAAGTAATGCTATAGAAACCTCAGCTACACGAGTATAGACGTGTTGCAATACTCATAACGAAAACTTAGACAATAATAACGACATATAAGTGCATATACTACGATTACGTAACAGACGGTATAACATTAACTTAACATATTTTTCCACCAAAAGCAGTCTTATAGTCTAATAATGCCCAAAAATATAGCCTAAAAGGTTAGAGAATGTTAGTATAAAGGATTATTTGGTTAAATATTTTACCTGCTCGAGGAAGAGTTTCTTATTGAGCCGTGTCGAGCGTCCTTAAGGACAGACGAAACTATAGCAAGGTTGTTATATGAAGGTGAAAGCTGAAGTCGGCTCCCACAAGCACGAGCTGGAAAAGAAAACGAACTATACCTCTTAATATGCACTAATATATCCCTGTTATGCAATTTTTAAGGTCTGTACTCACATATTTGGCGTAAAAATAAGGCCATTTTGTGAGCTCTTCTTTAATCTGACTCTGGACAAACTACTTGGGTATCAACTAAACATGTGACCATTGGGTTACCTGTGGTAAGTCATAAATTTAAAAATAAAAATAATCAAAGGCCCTTAGGCGAACTCGTGGATACTTGTTGCACTTTTCGAAGATTGGTCTTCCTGTGCCCTCTTTAAGCTTGTTGACATTCTTAAACGGATTCCAAATATTTCGCTCGATTTAATATTTTGAATGCTCAATTTATCTAGTAAGAGGAGTAATCGTCCTTATTATTTTCCTTTTAGCTTCTAGTTCTTCGCTAGTTTGTTGAGTTTGGAATTGAAAATTGTCTGAACTTCAATTAATACGAAAGACGACTTCGACTACGACTTCGCGATAGAGTCAACTGAGTCAAGTATAGAGTACAATTGGAAGAAGATCTATTTGAAAACGCTT